TTTGCCTGTTGTAATTAATTTTCTTAATTATTGTATTTTTTTTGCAGATACCTAATTTTTTACATTTAACTCCATCAGCCATCAAGAAACACTGTCTTGCATTAAAAGGTAAAAACCCTATCTATAGATGTACATTTAGTGTTCAAACACAAATGCAGTTAGGGACGACGTCAAAAGATTGATGTCGGATAAAAAACTTTTTTGCTTTAGTTTGGGGGTTGGTGGGGGTTTTTGACCTCAAAAAGTTTCCATCCTACAAAAACGATTTTATTTTTTAATGAAGCCAAAAAAATCTATTTAGTATATGTAGTTCGTTTTTTTTCTATCCAATAGTGAACAAAAATAACAGAAAATGGTAAATATGTGTCGTCGAATGAGGTCAATTTCAGGGCATGGACCTAGAGCATGCGCAGAACGACATGATCAGTATTTATCAATTAAGTTTCATTGGGGGGGGGGGGGACACAAACTAAAGGAATTAAGTTTTTTATCCTACATTTAACTTTTGATGTTGTCCCTTAGCAATTTGCTTTTTAAATCACTACAGCTTTTTTATAACACACAGTTTGTCATATTTGTGTTTTTTGCTTTACATACATGAAGCATGTTCTCTGTCTCTTATTAGTCACCGTTCGGATGCAGTCCAAAAACGGGGACTTATGTTTTGACCTCTGTGTGTCCGTGCGTGCGTGCGAGCGAGCGTGCGTGTGTGTGTGTGCATGTGTGCGTCCGGACCTATATCTTTGAAATGCCTGGACCAATCACAATCAAACTTCACACATACATCATACATGATATTATACATATGCACATTATACATATTGTTTAACGATCTGATTCAAGATGGCCGAATGGTGGCCATTTTTGTACTGAAAAATCATCAAAATCAAGCATTTCTCTGCTGTTTACAGATGGATTTTGTTCAAACTTTGTATATACATTGCACATTATGTGACCTTGATGCCAATCATTTCTGTTTTTCAGATAAGAATCAATGAATGAATGTGGTTCTAGTGCCATATCTCTGACATGCTTTGACTGATTATGTTAAAATTTCACATATTCATTATACATCATGTTATAGATATATAGATGTATTCAAAATGGCTGATTTTGTTTTGATTAATGCTGTTCCAGAGCAATATCTCTCAATATGGACAAGTACTCATTTGACGATCAGATACAAATGTCAATCATTTTAATGTTAAACAATCATCATAATCATATTCCTGACATGGTTATATTCCAGCTATATTACTATACACAAAACTATACATCTTAAATTTGATAACTAAAGGGGACTGTGCCATGCCTGGCTTGTTTTTGCTATTACAATTTTATTCTGAAATTTCTACTAGATTTTCCACCATATGTACAGTGTATGTTAGCCAATGGAATATTGTAAATAAATTTGTAGTCAAAATGGGTAGCACTTCTCTGAAGGACAGAAAGACAATAATTATTTGACTGTTTTTTGTCTTTCCTGGGAGTGGACAATTCTATATACAAAAAAGATATCAGATATAGTTGATATCACAAATCGTCTAGTACATAATTACATGTTATTGAGGCACTGGTTTATTGTGTTAGTACATAGCAAAAAACTTTATCATTTATTTTTACACATATTTTTTTTTTTGACCTCGAAATCCCACTCATAATGTGGTATTGTCATTTAACTTTTGATCACTGAGGAATTTATTGACCAATCACAGAAAACACACATGAAATGACCAGTTTCATTGGTTACTGGTTTTACAAGATTTGTACAAAGTATCCTTAACCTTTTCACCACAAGACTTTCTCGCCAAAATTTTTCTGCACTTTATTTTCATATTCTTTATTATTTCTTGAAATGATCCATAAATATATACGACGTTCAATTACCCACCATAGACTCTGGTCAGTCAAAATGACTATTTTGAACTGTAGGCACTAATCTGCCATTCAGCCAATGACGGAGAGAGAAATCTAGGTCAGGGGAGGCCCCATGACCTCAAAATTTTTCTTCACACAAACCCTCTGCCTCATTTTGGAGCCAACAAAAAATTTAGCTATTTTATTTTATAAACTATTTTGTGAATTTGTGATGAAAAGAGAACTGGTGGCAAAAAGATCAAAGGGCAGTGATCGTCACGCCATGTAAGCATGAGATATTGGTTTTATGTGTACAAATATGGCAACTTTGATAGTTACGCAGAGCAAGTTTTAACTATGAAATTTCCTTGGTGATTAGAAGGTTTCAAAAGCATCACTGATTGTAATTAATACACGTCACGCTAAGGTCAAAACTCATACTCATGGTTTCCATTAGAAGAGTGCATTGGATTGTGGGAAAATCAATGTTTATCAACACAAATGTTGCACATGTGCGGTGTGATGACCATTGTCTTTTAATATAAATTTTTGATTGTTTTTTCAAGATACTGTTTTTTTCTTTCATTTTCAGTATTTTGCACAGATTGGCCGAAAGCGCTGGATTCAGATGAGAAAGTGGAGAACCATTTTCCAGTCGAGATAGAAACAAGTGATTATATTTTTTCAGGGCCCTCACTAAGACATCCAATGGCAAGAGTTGTTAAACTTAATGTAAGTCTTTGCAGAATGCATTGTATATTAATTGTATTTCTTCAAGCTAATTTTTTCCATATTTTTACAAAGATTTTGGTTACTGTAAAGTTTGTATCCAAATGAGAAATTATGTCCATTTTGTCCAAATTGAACAAAAAAATTATATAAAAATATAAATGTTTATCTAACAAATTTGGGAAAAATAAAACCCAGTTAATTGAATATCAATTTGTAAAAAATTTGTAAATATATAGATCTTATGAAAATATATTCTTTTGAGATGTTGTTGTTTACAAATGTTTTATTTATGTCAATGACATAAAGTCTGTTAAATAAATAAACGTGTGTAGATTTCGTACTACAATTACAAAACATGAAGTTGTATTATCATCACTACTTTAATTTAGAACAAAATGTTGAAACGGTGAATGATTGGTTGGGACATGTACTTATTAATTTGGTTTATAAGATTATTGGTTTCACCTCCATTCATGTGGCGGCTGTACATAGCGCCCTCTAATATCTAAATCATATACCAATTTTCATCACCTGAGGGCGCTATTCAGTTTGTGCACTGGCCTTTATTTATGCATTAACAAGGGTGGATATGTTCACATTTGAATTGGGTTTAAAAAAATAATATGAATTTGAGAAGGGTATTCCAAATTGTGACGGAATAGTGAATATAAAATAGTGAAATTAAATGCCAGCAAAAAAAGAACTGTATAATTCTCCAATGTTAAACTCTTATTTTGTGTAATTAAAAAATATACACTCAATCTCCATCAATGCGTGATCCAATGTGATCTGACCAACTGGAGACAATGTTGGCTATAATAAGTATTTGAACATGTCAATGGTTTTTGATTGATTGCTTGCTTACATCAGCATCTTTTTTTTTTTATCCCAATTTCAAATTGCCCAACTGATGGATGGTCATAATGTTTTATTGACTATGTCCAAAATCAGAAAAAAAGCATAATGCATTTGCACTGATATATACTTAAGGATTTCATGCAAAATCACCAAGACTAGGGACAAGGCGAGAAATGCTAAAGGTGTTTATGATTAATATGTTGTTTGTTTCTTTAGGTTAAGTTGTCTCATTTAGAATTGGATCTTCACGCAAGAAGAAAACTGATTAAATTGGTTGGAGACAGATATGATAAAGATACAGACACCCTCACAATAACTGCAGACAGGTGTGTGTTTTTCTATTGTGTATTCCGCAAACTTCAATCTTCAGTCTCCAATCTGTGTAGTTATGTGGGGATATTCATATACCATAGTTGCTCTATAATTAGTGTATGGCTTATGTAAATGACAACATTTTGATGGTCCAGGATACTATAAATCCAATTTTTGTTCACCTTCTATGTTTTTATTTTAGATGCGTTTCTAATTGAGCAAATAATGTACTCTTAAATGTTTTTCTCTTAATTAGATGTCCGACTAAGAAACAGAACCGTGACTATGCTCTTTATTTATTAACTGTACTTTACCATGAATCATGGGTAAGTTGTAGTAGTCTGTAAGTGAATATGTAGGTTTAAACTAAAAATTGTTTTCAATAATTATTTTTGGATATATATGTTTGTATTTCATTATACACAGCAGCAGCTACATTCCCCAAATCATGTCTTTTTAGCAGGCATGTTATTTTAGCTAATTTAGCTAATCTGTAATTTTGCTAAATCAAGATGGTACTAATTTAAAATAAAGTATATTCTCACAATGAGATTGTTGATATTTTAGCTAAATTAAGATTTTGTTAATTTATGCATGGAGTCAAATTCACTAAAATGGCATGTAGCTATTTAAACACATTTTACAGTAGTTATCACCAAGCTGTCCAATATTCTGCTGAATATTTGCCTTGAATTAACTTATAGATCTGATTGGAAGTGCTTGTTGAACATGCACTGAATCAAAATTGGTGTAACTGATAACAATGACAATAATTAAACCAAAGAGGGCACACTTTGTACACACTGAACAGGATCTACCAAGGTATGATTGCTGTATTGTAGATTGCGATACAGTGAAAACTGACACCAGTGGTTTTTATTTTCAGAAAACTGAAGCTTGGGAAGCTGATAAAACCGATGATGATATGGAGGAATTCATTTGGGAAAATAGTGTATCACAGAAGAATATAATTAATTTGATAGAAAATATGAAAGAAAAGGTAATGTACATTTCATGATTTCTAAACTTAGATTTAAAAATCAAAAAACTTGCTTGGACATTGATGCACATTGTTTTGATTTACAAATATGATTTGAACAAAATTTAAATGTGCTGCTCTATAACTTTATCACTGTCATGCCAGAACAATCAAATTCAATATTTGCACATGCATTCTATTTCATTTAATGTGATTGAATATGGCTGACTGGCAGCCATTTTAGATCTAAAATGTGTTGAAATAAGAATCTCTGCTTAGTACATGTATACTACCCTTGATGTGTAATTATTGGTCTGATTCAAAATGGCCGACTGGCAGCCATTTTAGATCTAAAAGTTTTCTGAAATAAAAATCTTTACTCAGCATACATTTATGTTTAGTACATGCATACAACTTATGGGACCATTGATGTTTTATAGGTCTGATTCAAAATGGCCGACTGGCAGCCATTTTAGATCTAAAAGTTTTCTGAAATAAAAATCTTTACTCAGCATACATTTATGTTTAGTACATGCATACAACTTATGGGACCATTGATGTTTTATAGGTCTGATTCAAAATGGCCAACTGGCAGCCATAATGTTTTCAGCAATGTTGGTTCAAAAATATACCTTTAACATTTGAACATAGAATGAGATATTTCATTATTGCATGTATAATCGTAAAGAAATAGTTTGGTAAAAAAAAATTGATTTTTGAGACTTTCAATTACTGTGATTCTGTTTATTATATGATTTTAAAAACAAAACTAATTACCTTTTCTTTAAATTGTGTGTACTCAGAACTTTCATTACCCGCATGTGATAAATAGTTCTGCATTTTTACATTGTTGTCTATGAGACCTAAAAAAGACTGGAAATTGAAATGTTAGCCATGTCTATTTTAGTATGGTCCTGCAATTGGGTTTACTCAGTATCAATGCATGAACTCCCTTAACTACAGTCGACATAGTACCAAATCACATTATATTCATTCTATTCTCAGCCTGAAACCCTGAAAGCAGTCAAATCTCATGATGACATCATCCAGTCTCAAGAAGTTCTGCAATACAAGACGGCTCTTAAAAAACTACATGATGAAAAAGAATGTTTGGAAAATGTTGAAGATTATAAAGAAGCTGTTAAAAAGATTCTACTTGTGAAATCATCATGAAAGTGAATTAAAAAATCAAATACCATAAATCTTTAAGTTCACATTTTATATAAAAGGCACAGTTCAGATTCTTAGGCTATATGTATAGATGTTGATTCATTCGACATGTCATTCATTATTTGAACTGCGCCCTCTATAGAGTGAATCTTAGACTAAATGTGTTGGGTTTACCATATATGAATGTTGCCTATAGAGGGTGCTACTCTGAGAATCTGGGTTCTATATGCCCGGAATCTTTGATGTGGTAGGCCTACATAGATGAGTGTTGCTCATAAAGGGTGCTGCTCGGACACTGGAACATTTTCAAATGACGTTGTTGACCACTTTGCTCATTACTGTAAAATCTTTGTTAGAAGCCATGGTTTCTATTAAAATATTACAATACGACAGAGGGGATGTGGCTTCTATTTGAGCATCTACACATAAAAAATGGTGAATTTTAGGTTCTCAATTATTCAAAATGAATGGGTGCGACTTCTATTAGGGATGCTACTCCTAATACATATTTTACGGTAATTGGCTGGTTAGAATTCAACCGCCATTGACATTTATAAATGAAGGAAATGCTTTTGTTGTGGTACGAGTAAAGCTCAAGAAAAACAAGTCTGGATCAACGCTTGTTAATAGGTGGATAATATTTTAAATAAAATATTGCCTGTGGCTGAAATATGGGCACTGAAAGCATAGCATATACGGAATATATACTGACGTTTCACATTGAAGGGTGGTAGTTGTCGTGCTGCGCATGTGCGACATTTGTGTTGATAAAAATTGATTTCCCACAATCCAATGCGCTCTTCAAATGGAAATCACACTGCCCAGGTTTGACCTGGACGCGACTGGCACTAATTACCGCCAGTGACTCCTTCGATACCTTCCAATCACCTGAAAATATCTAATTAAATCTTAGTAACATCTCAGTTTGTACTCAAAGTCAAAGTTGCTATCTTTGTTTGTATGACGCGACGACTACCACCCTTTAAATCACTTGCAAATGAAAAAAGATGGCTGTGGCTTTGCATCCAGACCTCCAGAGGGTGCCTGGTGACAACTTATGAGTGGCCCTGGGTGAAATGTCTACGTTGCCATCTTGAGGGGCTAAGCCTCTCTCTGATGGCTCTTCAGTGAAAATTTATCCGTTTTTACCTTGCCCGTACCATCAAAGATGGAAGGGAAAGGTATATTAAAGGAAAAATTAAAAAAAAAAAAGGGCACCAACTAACTAAGTTGATTTGCATACAAAGCAGAGCTTGCAACATGATAGCTATTCATAGAGGGTGTTTTTTTTACTTTTCATATAATACAGTAGTCACATATTTGTCTCAGTGAATCATTAATTTTTGAGACACCTGTACATAATACTTGGACAAAAGCCAGCTAAGATTTTCTGTTATCTTGCATGTTTTATGAATCTATTCACGTCTAAATGCAGCACTTTTTTTCTGCGATGAGGCATTTGTTTTTATACTAAAATATCTAAATTACTTTGAATAAAGCTGAAAATTATGTCCCTTAAAATAATTAAACAAATAAGGCACCAATGTTTTAAGGACATTCAGTAGACTGATGCCCCACTGTTGTTTCAACTCCAAAACTTGTTTGTATTCAAAATTAATTATGACAATGCATATTTATATTGAAACAAACTATGATAAAGGGAATTGTATTATATAACAAAGGGCAAGGTCACCAGAGTTCAACTATGTTTTTATTTTGTGTCTATGGTTTCAACATATGACCGATTTTGACAAAATGACGACTATTTGACCCTTAGTTTTCTCATTTCATGTGACATTAGCCTTGTGCAGGGTCACTTTGCCCATGTGATTGTGTCTAAAAGAATGTTTCAGTAAGATTCTGTCATCTTCATGTAGTTGTATTTAAACAAAAATCACAGCTAATGTCACTTTAAACATACTGTAAAATACTTTATTTTAGCTGGAATTAATTTTCGCTGGAAAGATTTTTTCACAGTGTTTTGTATGGAATTTATTTTCACTGATTTTTGATGAGTTGAATGTAAAATATAGAAAAAATAGTGTATTCGCTGGATTTTATTTTCACTGAATCATCCCATAGGCGAATTTAGCGAAAATTTATTCCAAGTGAAAATAAAGTATTTTCCAGTAGTACAGCAAAAGTGAAAGCGCCACCAGTGTTTGAGTGATGTTTTGCAGGTCTTAATAGATTCTATATGCAGAATAACCAAGGGCATGACAAGTTCATCCATACACTCGTAAAGTCATGTCAGTAGTAACCAGAAAATTCAACTTTTTACATCCAACTTTACAATGTCTAGTAACTTATTATTCACATCCCTATCCCTATCAAATAACAGTAAGGCATTGGTATAGCAGAAATACACCCCTTTTAAAATAATATTAAAGTTTTGTCTAATAACTATGTATTTATCAAATAAATGTTACTTGTGATGTGGTGTTGTTTTTTTTTGTCTATACAAGACGAAGTCCAAGTAATGAAGTCCAACTAGTAGGTATAGTAATTTATGTTTATATGCTTATAGAGGGCGCTGTTTAGATATGCGTGCATACACAAGGGTTTCACTCAGTTTAAAATCAAATACTCTATAGAGATTAAATTTTTGCTTGCTCAGCTGATAGTTAAATATGCTAAATTAAATCCCAGAATGTTACAGCATTGCTGTCTTCACAAATCAGTGAATTTGAAACTTATCAAATACCTCTGAATTAACAAATCTGTTATTAAACCCAGTGTATATATTTCCTCCTCTGTAGTATGTACTCGTAAAATACCATGTGACACTAAAATCTGCTAAATCAAATATCCACTGAATTATCAACTGGTCTTTACCAGTTTAAAAAAACTGACAAAATTATTCCATTAACATCAACTAGAGGACACTGACAAACTACACGTTTCTTAGCGGCTTTGTGACATTACAAAGTCTATTAGTCGTAGATTTTTGAAAATCTTATGACCTTAGATGACTTCTAGTCTATCAGGATACTGAAATGGCAAAGAAATAAAATTACCGGTATTGTGGTTCTGAGACAATTTTTTGAGAAACAAGTTTGGAAGGTCATGGAAAATGCACATTTTTGCATTGGTTTGTATGGTTAAATTATTTCTTCATTGGGCAATAGCCCTTATACTAAGTGAGTGGACAATAGTTCTGATAACAACTAAGTGGGAAACAGTTCAGATAACTGATTGGGCATTAGTCCTCATACTGAGTGGGCAATAGTCCTGATACAAACTGGGTGGGCAATAGTTCTGATACCAACTGAGTGGTCAATACTCCTGATACCAGATGAGTGGGCAATATTCCTGATATCAACTTGTTGGGCAATAGTTCCAATACTAACTGAGTGGGAGATAGTTCTGATACCAACTGAGTGGGCAATAGTTCTGATACCAAATAAGTGGGCAATAGTTATGATACTGAGTAGCCAATAGTTCTGATACCAATTGAGTGGGCAATAGTTTTGATACCAGCTGAGTGGGCAATAGTCTTTGTACTAACTGAGCGGGCAATAGTCCTGATACCAATTGAGTGGGCAATAGTTCTGATACCTGCTGAGTGGGCAATAGTCTTTGTACTAACTGAGCTGGCAATAATCCTGAAACTTACTGAGTGGACAATAGTCCTGATACCAACTGAGTGGGCAATAGTCTTGATATCAAATGAACGATTAGTCCTGATACCAACTGAGGTAGCAATAGTTCTGATAATAACTGAGTGGGCAGTAGTCCCGATACCAACTGAGTGGGCGATGATTCTGATACCAACTGAGTGGAAAATAGTTCTTATATCAATTGCGTGGGCAATGGTCCTGATACCAACTAAGTGGGCAATAGTTCTGATACCAACTAAGTGGGAAATGGTACTGATACCAACTGAGTGGGCAATAGTCCTGATGCCAGCTGTGTAGGCAATAGTTCTGATACTAACTAAGTGGGCAATGGTCCTGATGCCAACTGAGTGGGCAATAGTCCTGATACCAAATGAGTGGGCAAAAATCCTTATACCAACGGATCGGGGAATAGTACTGATAGATAACAACTGAATGGACGATAGTCCACGCAATTTACGAAGCTTTGCCAGTCAACAAATATAAACTTGAATGAATAGTATAATTTAAGTTGAACGTTTATCGAAGCAGAAAACTGAATAATATAATTATTTAAACGCTTAAAATTCACCTGGTGGGATTAAAATAGTTACATTGAACATACAGATTTAATATGGGATGAAATAACACTACTGCTACAATACAGTAAATCACTGTCGGCTAGCGTTAAGTGGCAATAAAACAACTGCAATTATTTTACGTATGGAAGAGCCATATTTAATCCGACTCGAAACTATAATAAAGATACTGTTTTACTTTTCAAGCCATATTCATGGTTCGCTGCCCCATAATATCTGTAAATTAATTGCATTTATTTTATTACCACTTAACGCCAACCGACTGTTGGAGAAATACATCATTATAGAAATGCGAAATGGCGGTGGTAAAAAAAAGCAAACATAAAATGAGGATTATACTATGGCGAGAATGGGTGTTTGTTTTTATTGGTTTATTAATTTGGACAATGCAATATTCATTGCAGGGTTTCCAAAGGAACATACAATGTATAATACAATTTGATTATATATATATATATATATATATACCTTGTAATCTTTATATAAGTTGCTGCGTTGCCTAAATAGCATTTAATAAATTTAGGTTTTTCAGTAATTATGTCATTTTCGTTCATTATCAAAGTAAATTTAGTTTTCTCGTCTTGATTCATAAAGCCAGGAGCATACTTTAAAGCTTCTGATTTTGGTTTAGTGTCCGCCCCCTCCCTCTCCCCCTTTTCGTTAAATGGGATCGACAGATTGGCTCTCATGGATCAATATTTTTAGCACTGTTAAATAACTTTCCATTTCAAAAATTTTCTTGATTTAACTTCATTAAATTTGTTTCTTTGATCCGAATAAATAATTATGTGTATTGATTAATTTTGTCCCATTATTTGTTATCTATCACTGTCTTCGTATACTGTTAAAGCGCGGTGGTCTTAGGGAATCACCAGTTAATTTGACCGAGGGGGTGCCGGTGAATTTTACATGTTACTGTTAAATAATCACAAGTCCCCCCCTAGGTGTATATTAAAAATTGGGCTGTCCCCCCCTTAGAAAAAGACAAAATATGATAGCCCCCCCCCC